ATTGGCCGAATGGAGGGGATAGATGGCTGTCAAGAGTGTTTCTCCATTCCAACACATCCAGACACAAAGCATCCATAACAAACATGAAGTGGGTATTGAGGTAATGGATGGGAGGTTTATTAACTCACCCATCGTTGGAATTTAAGATTAAAAAAAAAACAACCATTACCAAACATAAATCAGTCAGTAAGCAATTAGAAGTGCATGGTGCAATGATTAAGTCAAGTGAGATGAAGCACATTGCCTGTGAAAGGAGCTAGTTTCCACGCCTTTCCCCTACTAGTCGATTAGGGTGCGAACCAACTGTTCCACATCCACCTCCACAAAATAAACCTGATTGTCAGTAGCTCTGCCACCGCACGTTATCTAAATTCCATCAACCTAGGAACCAAGACAGGGTGGAACCAGCCGAAACCTTATGATATGCAGATCAAAAGCAAGAGGACAGCAGCGAAAACCCAAGAAGGTCCTATATTAGTATCCTCACGTCCATTTTGCCCTATAACACAGGGAACAAACGATTGCAGCCAGTCATGCTGAAAGCCACACAAACTTAATGCCTAGATGATACTCAATCACCATCAAGACACCGGTGGTTGAGTAAGTCGTTACCTACTGCAGGAAAGAACTAGAGAATGCCTTCGTAAAGACGTGAAACGAACAGTGCCAAATACGGTGACGTGATTCTTTGGCTTGGAGTATCACAAGATTAAGGGAGGTCATTTGCCCTGTGTCAAAATTAGTAATAAGGGTGGCCATATTTCAGGCTTGGAATTACATTTGACGTATTCATTTGCAGTTTTTGCCTGAAAAAAGACCTCCTTGCGGAAAAGTTCCAGTGTTCTTGCTACGCTTTAGCCCATTGGTTGTCATAGATATCACAAATTTTGTTTAGGGAACTGAAGACGCAATCCCTGGCATTCATCATGCTGGCTGTGTTATTCTTGATCTTTTTATCCACACATGATGCAAATTTAAGGCCAGAAAAGGAGACACGTCCGAAAATGACAAATTTTATTTCTCATTTACAACCCAGCATTGCTTGTCATGCTGGCCGGGGTCAAGAGTCACCGAGGGCAGTCGGTGGCATTCGAACTTGAAACTTGGTTAATGCCACTCGAGTCTGCTGATTTTGCGCATCAAGGACAAATTTTATGATTAAGTGCCCACAATTTCTCACCAAAAGCAAGTAAAAAAATGTCATTTTGGGGGTTAAATTTGAACTTATTTGGGTAGCTAATAAATTTTGTTTCTTTTCTCCATGATCTGTCTAATAGAGCTGTAAGATGACCGGCCCAATGTGAGCACAGATGCTAAGTTGTGATTTCAAGACATTCACTTCCCAACATCCAATTAGGTAAATTTGTTTGCGCACTGAATGACAAAAAAAGTGACACAGTCCGGCCAAATGAAGGAAGAAATTTTGCTGTACAGAACTGCGCACAAATCTCCCTGGCCTTCTGCAATAGAGAGAGGGCTAAACTGACCTGATTCGGGGGAATGACGTCGTAATCAAAGTTTGCAGCAACTACGCCTGTATATGTAAAATGCCTAAGGGGCATGGAAGGAGGCCAGTACCAACTTAATCACGCCATTAATCATCCTTGCACAAACTCCACTTTCGTGTAGATGGTAGTGCCATTTGTAGAACCGAAAGGTTTCCAAATATATCTACATACCTGAATAGAAAGGAATGCGACAAATTTTACAGACGTGGAAGAAGACTACAAAACACTATTAAAAAAGAAAAGCTACATTAACTTTGTTTTAAGCAAATTGAATTCTAAAAATGCGATTAAACTCGAATAAACTGGCAAAAAGATCTTAGAAAGCGTTAAGAAACTATTTCCCAGGACCCACATAGCCAAAAGAAAGAGGCTGAATAGTTCTATCGAAGGAAAATAATGGGGGCTGCCTTATTATCGGTACAGAGGGCTCGTTCATGGACAAGAAATGCGGTTTGATGGACCAAAAGTAATACAAGTAGACAGAACTAGATTACGGTCCTCAGGCTTCCCAGATATCAAGATAAACCTAACATCGAGTCTAACTGAAGGGTAACTAGTCCCCCCATCTTCTCCTCCCTACGTCTGGATAAAAGCCGAGTTAAGTGGAAAAAGGAAATATTCCAATCTTTCTAAATCCAATCGAATACAACTTTTACTGTAAAGATGAAATCAAATTCGACATTTTTGCTGTTCTAAGGGAATTGAAAACTCTGAAGTCGCAACATCGTTACAGATTTCATGCTGCTCGAAAGTTCAGCAGCTAAAACAGTTTATTTTTCCCGTAGGAAGAAGTTAAAAAGTCTGACTAAATGGGTATTCATGAATTAATCTCGAAAATATTAACGAACTGATTGCAGTCCACTCACAACTGAAAGATGAGAAGTCTACTATCGAGAAGCAGCCATTTCTGATATCCCCTAATAATATGGCAAAACAATGCTTCATCTAGGGACCTGAAAGCAACCATGGTGTAAACGACGAATAAATAAATTTTACCGAAATTTTAGTGGAAGGAATATCTGGAACCACAGCTACAATTAAAACAGAATATGGACGGCATAGATCGGAATTACGATACATGTGTAGCTCCAGAGAGGGGAAATTTGGCGGATATTCTGTTGGACACATATTTGGATCAGTTTAAAACATTTTTGGAGTGTGTAAATATTCCCTTGTACAAAGCAAATTTACCAGAAGGAATATAGGGTCTTAAGACGCAAAAATCCGACATTTTCAACTATGAGAAACATCATTTACGCATTAGTTCTGAATTGTGAATAGGAAGAGTCTAATAGGATATCTAACGAAAGTATATCCGAATGCACAGAGCAAAATCCCATTGACAACAAGCAAGTCGAGGAGGCGGTCGAATCCAATGATCTCTTGCAATGGAATTTTATTTAATTCATGGGCGACAAGTAGCAGGTCCAAAGGAATTTACTAAAACATTTCATTTATTCAAAGGAAAGCTCAAAGTTTAAGTTCGGGTACTGCATTAGGTCGACAAGTAAATACTCAATGGATTTAAACAAATCCCAATTAATAATGTCAACAAGGTTTTGTCCTTAAAGAAGTTGATTTAATACTTTCATAAAATCTAAGAAAATCGAACAGTTAAAGCTCTTGTATCTCGGGCTGCAGCAACTGCGGGAGAATTTATTATGACATCATGATTACTGACCATTATTATAATCCAATGTTTTTTTTTCATTTAAAATGAACACAAAATGGCTGACATTAACAAATGCTATGATATGTCAAGCAGTCAAATAGTTAGTTTAAGTGGAGAGGTAGGGGGGTGGAAGGGGTAGGAAAAATTTCAGTGCCCGTGCGACGCCTTTATAACTGCACACCCATTCCTCCTCGCAATCTTGCCATCCTCCCTCCTCGCATCAAACTTCAACTTTTGACACTACTTTTGATGGAAGTTATAGGTATTTCTGGTTATCTCTCGCGAAAACGCACATCATTACGCGCTGAATTACATCGGATTAAGATGTCTCTATTCAAGAGAGTTTAAACCTTAAGTAAGTGAACTAACGTGATCTTACAGGTCCCAAAACCCTCAGTCACACAGAAACTTGGGATCAATCTTAGTTGGGCGTCTTTACTTTTTTAATTATTTTCACCAAATTTCAAGGCTCAAAAGCAACTAAATTACCACATGATGTGGTTAAGGACTTTGAGCTTTATTATCAAAACAAAGCCAAAACTTGGTAAAGACTTACCTCACAGAGGCTGCCCTGTCGTGTTTAGCCATTTTCTGCCTCGATATTTCGAAAACTTTTACCACTAGATTAATCCGAGCGCTGTTGTTAGGACGAGGTCTCGCCTTGCCAATAATGGGAGCAAGCGTTAGACCATCATAAGTGGTAGAGAAGGTAACAGGCGCACAAGCAGACACACTTGTGGAAATCTACGAAATGTGCCTGCCTCGAGTGGGGGGCTGCACGAAGGTCATACATGCCTATGCGTGCGTGCGTATGTGCGTGCGCGTGTGCATGGATGCACGTGTGGCCATGCTGTCGATCCCTGCTCAGCCCTCGCCCATTGGTGAATGAAGGGCCACGTCATTGAAATCCACCAATTAGCGTCTGCGCCGGCTGGTTTTCAGCTTTCCGCAAGTGTTTTGGGGCCATTTTAGTTGTGGAAATGGGCAATCACTTGTTTGGGACCATCTATGCGGTTGACTGGGCCCCATTTGCCCATGCTAGCGCAAACAGTAAAGTAGCAATTATTGCCGCTGTTCGTGTGACGATGGTGAATTATCTTCCTTGACACGACCTCTCATGACCTTTACATAAACGCACTCATGAACACTTAGGAAGTAAACGGACATTTCTAAAGTTACAAAACGCTGATTGAATAATTATTTCAAGAACACATTTTTGTAAGAATAGCATCATCAAAGTGCTGCTAACCCTGACAACTTGACTGGTCTTGTCATCCCAACTGACAGATTGGCAGTAGTCAAAATGTCAGTTCAATTAGGATGAAACCTGTCTACAGTGATACCAAAAGTTTTCCATTGGTACAACTAGCCCCTGCCTTACTACTTAATTACTGCTAGTATTTTAGTGGTGGATAATTATGCGTAAATGATTCCTCGAACGATTCTGTAGTTTGCGTTTCTGATAAGCCTGGCGGTGCCGTTTTTATCTGTCTAATTAATTATGAACACTCTGGATATTTTCTTGACTGCTTAAAACTTAAGAATCTTAAAATTCGGGAAGTGGGGTAATATCTTCTTAATACTTGGTTGAAAGATCGGTTAAAATATCTTCTTTTAAGATTTTCGAGGAGCCTAAGTAGTCTACTGAATTGGAATTAAGTAACAATGCTCTGCCTGTAGAATGCATTAAACTACGCAAATGCTCGATAAAACGCGCTTCATTCTTTGGTCATTGCAAACGGAATGCTTTTTTTGTACATACGCATAGCAAAATGAAATACAAAGATTCATTTCAGAGGGAGGAGCAGGGAGAGGAAGAACTAGTACAACTTCGTGGGTCGGGGGACGGGATAGGGTTCACTGGGAAGGAGGTAGATCTTCCTGTTCAGTGCAGTGCGGTCGTAGACTAGGTCTGCAAAGGATGGCTAGCTAAAAGGAAATATGGTTAAAATTTATCTAATCTAAGCTCGCCACCAAAAATGCTACTTAAAACAGTAAGTAGACGGAATTACAGATTCAGTAGACGATAAGACTTACCAAAGTAGCTTACGGAAGGCCGGTATTCACAGACACTTTCCTGAAATTACAAAATTTAGCGGATAACTAAAGTTTCACGAAAAAAAATTCATGCTGAAATAGCGTTGGCAGATCTGAACTAAATTTTGGATTTTATCTTAAAGTTATTTTCGGCCACTACCTTAATATCACGACGTCCCAACCATACCGATAATCCTCTTGTCCTTCCGGATGTCAATACTAAAACCCTTTCAGACTGTTTCATCCCACCAAAGATGACTCAAGTTGCCGCTTTGGAGGCAGTAATAAACAAACCCACCCTTGATGCTATTGGGTGGTAAGTAAAGAAGGAGGACTTCCATAATAAAGATTGAATCCACGCAAGCTCACTCTACAAGGGCTGTCGGAATCACGTCGACTTTTTTTATCACTCCAGTCTTGAGGGATTGCTTATCAACTTTACTGTCTACCGTAAGTGAGGAGACAGGATGGTTTTCTTTCCTATTCTGTTTTTTAGGTAAAGATTCCTACCACCAAGCGATTGGCATTTAAGATGCTCTCGCACTCCAGTCTTGTTGAGAACTAAGTCCACTTCATTCGTCATCAGCAATGAGATGGGTTGAAGTATTTCTATAGGGAAAATTAAACGAATTAATTGGGTTCTTTTCTTGCAATCAACTACAATCTACTAAAGACGATCGTGCCGAGAAGGATGCTCTGAGGGAGGCTATAAAATAAAAGGACGGCTGTTCTAATGGCGCATTTAACAAAGTGAACTTTAGAGTTCTGCTGTTATCTTAGTTTTATGGAATCCTCTACTTGATTATACCCTTTCGGTCATTTGGTGCGTTGATGGTGAACCCTCTGTCAGGCTTTATTGCATCCTCCGAGATGGCACGAAGTGGCGGTGTCAAGTAAACCCGATCAAAGTAAGTAGAAATCTTGCCTTAATTGGTTTTTAAACGTTAGAGAAAGAAGATATATTCTTTGGAGATACTGTCAAAAATAGGGCGGAACCATACTTAGCTTTGATTTGCGACGAAGTCAGAGGACATAATATCACCTTTTCCTCCTTTTGGTTTTGGATTACTGTCCCCGGTTGAGGCGGTGGGCTATCTGGCTGTTGGGTAAACCCCCACGCAACACGAATCGCAATTCAGAGGACACGAACTTCGTGGACCCCAACCAAATCCCACCAAGGGGACCAGCTGCATTCAAAGTTTCCATATCGCCTTCGTTCCTGTCTTTCTCGGTTGATGGAAAGCCTTGGACGACCTAGGCGAGTGATTATCCCTGGAGAGTTTTGATGACGATGGTCAAGAGAAGAAGGCATCCATATAAAACTTTGCAACAGATTGGAATCTTTCCTTCCTGCCTCGAGGCTACACCTTCCTTAGTGGGTCTTCCCGCCTAAATAGTAAACTTTATTGCGTCCCGGAGGGACAATTCCAGGCACTGGAGCTATAATTTTGCAAGACCCTCAACCTTATGGCTTATTAAACTTTACAATCTGTTTCTTTTTTATCCAAAAAATTGCTGACTGCAACATCAGAACAACGCAGCAGGACCGACGATCATCCGCAAGATTTGCATTTCTTGAAACGGTGGAAGCAAAGCAGACCAAAAAAAGTAATAGAGCCCGAAAAAGAAATGCAAAGAACGTTGCTTTTAAGTATCTATTCAGCTGGAAAAATCTAATCTACTCTGCAAGGCCTTTCGATGGAGAAATGATGAGATGGGGCAGTAAACTCCGCGCACGCGATCGTCCACCCCATCGAAGCCTACTTGCCCCATCCCCACCTATCATCGTATAAATCGCATATAATAACCTGTGGCAATGAACTTTAAAAGTTGGTGATAAACAGTCACGCACATACTTCAGTAGGAAGAAAAACTCATTTATTTTCGGGTGCGAAGTTAATACTTCCTTTTTTCCTCCTAAAAGATAACCTGATCTGCCTTGAAGAAGTGTCGATGTGGGTGAAATCCTGTGGAACTCTAGTTACTGGCGCGTGCGGAGGAAGTTTAGGTGGGAGATAAGCCCAAGACTTCCGCACAGAGGAATAAGCATTGAGGAGACACTACTGGATTCCCTTGAGATTTGGTATGCTAGGCTTCAGTCTACCCGACCTGGCGGATCAAACGTGGTTCTGGGGTTAGAGCAGCATCTCGAAAAGATTGCCTCACACAATTTGATGATATTACGGTGGAAGAGCAGGCTACAGGCCTTCTGCCATCACAAGAGCCCTAAATTGATGGGGAAACAGCTCATTTACATGTCCAATATTCACTTGGAGAAGTCGTAGATGGTACCAAGTAAATGCGCTCCATTTGCATGCATTAGCAGGTAGGTTATAAAAAAGGCATTGTACATTTTATAGTGCTTGTAGATAAATTGCTAGACGGACTGGCTGACTTCTGATGGGGCATGAAGTTTGGGGTACTCTCTCGCCGTCTGTTCTGCCAACAAACATATCATTTGTTATCACCAAATACTTGTGTAGCACTTCAAGACTCCCTTCATATGATGTTGTAAAAAAACTGTCAGAAAAACTAGCTTCTTGCAGGCAATGACGTGCTGGCTAAAAAAGAACGATTTATCAGCGTTTATTTGTCTACGGTCGGTGCGAGTCCCTTGAGGTAGGCGGGCAGTACCTAATGAGTCTTCAACACGAAGGACTTATTGCTGCCAACTGTCTTCCAGTTCACTCTCGGTAATCAAGGCGATAGCAAAGGTTTAGTAAGGAGGAGAAGGAGGAGTTACCTACCGAATCGGCGAATCGAATGTTTGTCCGCACCGAGCGATTATTAAGGGGATTGACTGGTCGAAAATTGTCAGCCATTGAGGTGGACCATAGTGTTTTGTCAGTTCGTAATTGTCGAAGAACCTTCATCTACAGTCAAACAAGGAACAACAACAAACAGAATTAGTCTCTCTTTTGAAATATCGAAAAGGCAAATTAGAGAAAGTAGTCCAATCAAAGGGTCAGTGCTTTTAAGTGAAGGTTGCTGAAATATGAAATAAGTAGCATATTACGGGGATAATGTTATTCTTCACATATAGCTGTTTTCTAGTTCTTCCGACTTGGCAAATTGGTGGTAGTGATAGTGGCGATTGTAAAGAACAACTTTCTTCCCTCCTCTTAAGGGTATAACAGGCAGAAAAGGAGAAAATGTCTCCTTTGTTGGATCCACAAGCACATCCACCTTTTTATTACCGTCTGGTCACCCTTCCCTATTAATTATTTAATTTGATACTTGAGGTGATTAGTGAAAATGGTCTTCCAGTTTATCTTATCTCTTAACATTACTGAAAAGTCACACCACCCCAAGGAACGACATTGGAATCCAAACCAAGTTCTGCGAATAGTAACCCATGAAGACAATGGCTTGAGAGCCTTTAAGATGACTTGCTTACTTCTTTCAGGGAGATCTGAATGGATCTATTGAGAATGATCCAGGTCACCGTTTCGGCACAACTTGGAAATGGCAGCGACCCCTCATACGTCATATACTCATCGATGGCCGGAAAGAGGGCCTGTAGTTCGATTCCTTTTAGATGAAATTTATTGCCTAAAAGTAAAACAAATGAAAAATGAAAAGTTTCCAAGACCTACTAATTGTTTAGTCAAGTAGAGCTCAGCTCTTAGATCTTTTTCAGAGGTTAGTAGACCAGCAATACCGTAGATAGGTCCATTTATCATTTATTCAATCAACCACGTTAGCTCTATGTATCCAAATTACTTGCTCTGAGGCAGTGTAGCATTTAAACAATGAGTCCATCCATAATATAAAATATTTAACTTAAAGTAAGCAACAAGGTGGGTTGATACCTCCCACTGATGGAGAGAAACTACGCTGGAATGCGTACATTTTATACTGGAGTAGGGAAATAATATGAAAAGACTTTCCATTCTGTCTAAACCCCTGATAAGTTAAACCCGGTGAAGTTTACCAGAACCAGCTAATGCCACTATCATCATTGAAAGTGGAGGGGAAAAGAAAGAGCTGGTTTAATTTTTTTGTCAAGTAGGTGGTACAGGAAGTTCAAGCGAGGCAAGTATGAGTATGTAGTACGGAGGGCTAGGTTAACCTTTCTCCTCTCCTTGCAAGATGCTTGAATTCAGCATTACCTGCTGTGCTAGTTAATTTATAAAGCAAAATTTTGCCGGAGAAGAGGAAAGAATTATCCTGATGCAAAAATCCACCAATCAGCGAGTCGCTTTCTGGGGGTACCCATAGGTTCACGGTCCGTTGCGTTGATTAGTCAACTATACGCTCCCCTTTTTGGACATTTCCTTTCCTCGAAATTATGCAAAAGTAAGGTTGCATAGGAGACTGTGCTTTATTTTTTTTTATCTCAGAGGAAAGATAAATGCGTTATTTGGTCATGAGTGGGAGGCTGCTGCCCTGCTGCTGCTATTGTGTATTTATCTCATTCAAAATAAAATTAGCAGTCCTTCTTTCCACTTTTAAAAACATTAACTCGCACATGAGAAGGAAATGGGAAGCTTTACCTTCTAATTTATTACGATGTCGATTTAAAGAGATAGATGGGAATGTAATACAATCGGTTGCCATGATTGTCTACCCAAATTTTCTCCCTCACCCCATTTCTTTGGATGAAAGAGACACCAATTCCATTTATATTGCACAAATCCCTACTATTGATGATACTATCATAGATACTGTCACCAAACGAGGCAATGCCAATTCTGATTCTTCCCTTTCGTGGTCCCGGGTGCTCCTCGCCACCCCGCGCCACCTCGCCCCCTAGGCCTCTGATGGTATCTGGAGCATAGCTTGACACGGTCATGAGACATGAAACTAGCTATTGACTTGTCAACTCAACCACATATGTATATTTGCCTCTTTTTTCTGCAAGAATCACAACCCCGAACCGCATTGCTGCTCATATTTTAAGGTAATTGTTTAAAACGACAATAAAGCTTCCCAACCAGCAGTTAACAGGAAGTGCTCAACCCCTAATTGAGATGAACATTTCAAATTTTAATCACTTATGTATTCATTTATTAAAATTAAAGGAAAAATTTCGTCAGGTAGTTCCATTATAACCCCTTTTATGAGGAGAGAAAAGGGCTAGTTGATTAGTTGCCGTAGCAACTAAAGTCGGTACAACTAATTGCAGGATACAAAAGTGGAGGTTGGGTTTTGAAGGCTGGTGGAAGCGTAGGATGAGTGGAAATTGTGGGGAGAAGACATTTTTACTTCTTTCCTTCAACCCCCGGACTGAAAGTGGTGCTTCAAGCACTTGCAGTGAGTGAAGGAGAGGGAGAGTGTTATGTCTTCTAAATTACAAGCCACATTTTATTGCCACTCTTGGTCTGTGTCTACAGAAAAGAGTTTTTACTGCGCTCTACAAGCTGTACATTAGGCATGATAACTGAAATAATGAAGCCCGCGAGTTAATACTAACCAGATGGGGAAATTAACAAAACCGGCGGCGTGTGGAATCCTCCTTCCCTTGTGTTGGATGATTTCGACTCCTCCGTTTATTTAGAGTCAGAGGAATTAATGTAATTGAATAAACAGGGAAATGAATAGCTTAAACAGGGAATTCTTTAAAATTGCGGCTTTGGAACAAATTGTGGTGGTGGTGGTGGTGGTGGTGGTGGTGGTGGTGGTGGTGGTGGTGGTGGTGGTGGTGGTGGTGGTGGTGGTGGTGGTGGTGGTGGTGGTGGTGCTATGTACTGCAATTTGTAGGTGGTGAAGACTTCCTTGATGGAGCAATTTACACTTACTGCCTCCTTCCTTGCCCCAGGTAAACGTCAAGCCCCAGATATTATCTCGACAATGTGTCAACTGTGGATAGAAAGACTAATTATCATTTCCTCCAAGAATGGGAAAATTTTTCTGTATTTTCCACTACTCAAAAGTCCTAATTAATCAAATGGATTTTACTCCGCAAGGCATGCAACACGAAAACGGATGATCACAGCGGCAGAAAGTAAAGTGGATGGTACGCAAAATCGAAGATACTTTTACTGTGTAAACAAGGGGAGTAGGGAATAGCAGTGGGTGTTTTGATAGCATCCGCATTATTATTAACACCTACAACGACAGCAGCATCAAAAGAGGTCATAAAGGACTTGGGAAAAAAATTATTTGGTCCAAGCGTTAAACGTGAATATGTTTACAAAACCACTGAATTAAATTGTGTGGGGTATATTGCATAGAAATATCTAAAGACGTCTGGCGTGGATATTTTATTCTGGACGATCTATGTAGAGACAATAAAATGTAGGCTATTTTAAATATTGAAGAAGGACCGAAATCTACCCTTAAGTTTAGATGCCAAACGCAAAGTATACCTACTGAGGCCTGAAATGCACTCGAACGTGATAATGCTTTGCTAAACACCTAGACCGCACTTTTCACACAAGCATTTGAAAGTCGCTGAAGAAATTCTCGCCGTTTCAGTCGACTTAAAAGGCGAATGTCTTCAGCATTCTTTACGAAGTGGGATAAAAGTAAATGGATAAATATCGCTTACATTCCAAATCCGCTGCTACCGCCTGTGTACCTGTTTTTTCCGCAGTAATGAGAGGTAATTGCATGCCATAATTAATAGTGGGCGTTTATAAGTATACTTTATTAATACATAAATTGGGAATCCCCTTTTAAACAATTATTTGCAGACAATTCCGAAAAATTAAAACCCTGCATGCTCCCCACCACCATTCCCCATGCGCGCCTATGGATCAAAATATGCCATCCAAAGTAAATAGCAAAATTATCATCGAAATTTGTGACGGAAAAAACGCACTACCCTACACGGCCGAGGGATGAATAAAAATATCCATTTCAAGTAAAAATCTTACCCTAAATCTACTAACTCATAAAATTTTGTATTTGTTTTCGTGCATACGGAATAAACGCACCCTTTTAAAGGTTGATCAACTGCGGAAATTCGTTTTCCTCATGTCTCAAAAGCACTAGCCGCTATTATAAATTTTCCTAGTTCATTAAACGGTACTTACGAAGTGAATAAGTTAATTTGGTATTTTGAAAGATATAACATGGATAAACGTACCCAGAAACTGCGTTTTTTCTGCTGCCATAACAATTCCCATTAGGTCCTTATTTGTCTCTGTTGACATCTGTGGGGACACAAGAGAAAAAAAAGAGGACCTGGTTTACTTCTTAATCACTCGACTACTTTTAACCTGGCATAGCTCTGCCGAAGCGGAATGTGATACTTCTCCGCTGGAATATTTTGTCCTTTCTGCTCTATAGCGCAATTTTATTCCCTTTTTTAATAAAGCTAATTTCTCCTACCACTTTTATTTACTTTATCTGCTGGCAACAACTCGAGTGAATACAATGAGGCAATTAAAGTTAAATTAGGGGAAGAAGAGACACGGGGCAGCGCATCTTGATATGTAGCTAGAACTCCTATTTTCCAAAATAACCATGGGGTAGTTCACCCAAATTCTTGCAACAAGAAGCAAGGTATAACATTTAAAAATGACATTAATAGGAAAAAAGCTGCCTAGTTAAGTGTTCTTTTGTTAATTTTTGTTGAGAAGTTATTTTTTTGGCAATTGTCAGCCGCAGATTTAATGCTCCAAATTCATCTCCAACTGTGCGAGTTGCACCCCATGTGCCAAATATATACATGTATTCACAGGTTTTCGAAACTGTACTTTGCACATAGCTATTCTCATTAATCATGCAAAAAATTGCAGATTTAACATACTACACCTCTGTTGGGTGTATGAACACCTATACAGAGTAAAAAGCGAAACGTTCCACAAGAAAGGTGCAAAAAGGCCGCGTCCATCTTTGCTTAAAACCCTCATGTCATGCCCTTCTCACACGTCAGTCTCTGTCACAGAGGGGTACACTACTAGTAAAAAGAAAATTAGTGCAAAAAAAGGCAAAATTTTTTATCCACATGTATGCACATGAGGCATACCTGAAGCATACTGGAGAAGGCGGCAATGCCATTGGGTCTATCAACAGCATCCGCAAAACTTTGGTACAAATCGCTGTTGTAGGCATACAGCTGTAGCTGAAATGGAGAGAGAGACAAAAGGAGTCCCCCTCAGCTGTTTCACCCTGCTCTTAGCGATCTTAAGAATGGTCATAAAGGTCAAGAAAGGTCATAAATTGGTAATGGCTTAATCATTAAGGCCCAAAGGTCGCAATATTGTACCGCCTTAAGAAAAAACTTGAGCTATTTTGATAGGAAAGTTAGAAGCACAAACCTCGCCTGGGTAGGCAAAAGAGTTGACTCGGTGCTCTGACCCACGATCAGACGAGGAGCCAAATTTAAGTCGCATTTCACTCAAGCGATAGGTGTACGACAGCGGTCCCCCCGAGAATGTAATGACACCAAATATTACAGCGAAGAGTAGGTCGTGGCCGGCGTTTTCTACTGAAATCGTGAGCTACAGAGAACAAAAAAAGAAGGCATAAAAAAGTCTGATGCTTTTGCTGGTAAAAGTGAAGTAGTTTTGGCCTCAGACTCCCTTCCAGTATCACTAACCGAGTGTCACAAACAGATTAGTCGAGTTTATGAAGACCGGACAAACGTAGAAACTTTTCAACTGAGGACAAATACGCCTTGTCAACCTTTTATTGCACAACTTCCAATAAAACACAATTTTCCCACGTCTTGGTGATAAATTTCCCCTTAAGACTCTGGTAGCAAACGCATTAAATCAACTTCTTTTCAGGCCTTAGGGATTCACAAATCAATTGCATTCAGGGCCTAAATTTGATGTAGCATTTACTGCCTGTGGAGCACATTCTTCTTAAACATTCTATTTCAAATGGATGCAAAAAAAAACATCTAAGGTGTGTTGGCTACCTAAACTACCGATCAAAAAGAAAAGTTCTTTGCATATTAGGGTAAAACTCACTCCAACTGGCCTCCCGAAGATAAATTCATTTATACAGGTGTTGCATCTGTAAGGCAATTAAAAGTGTGCTTTCCGAGTTTACTAAGTAAGGCGCTGGACACTTTCCACTTATTTGAATAAGACCACTTTGGAATAAAGTGACAAGTCACTGGTTTTTTCCTCTCTCTTTTATGAAGAAGATAAAAAAGCAACAACAATTTACTGGCCTGATATTATTGAATTAAAATACTAAACTTTGGACGAATCTATTCCGCTATATAGTGTATGGATTAATTGGGCGCAAACGATAAGAGTTTAACAGATGAGAACAAGAAATAGAAGTAAATATACATTTCTAGACATAACAAAGGAGTTCTTAAACATGGGGACCCAAAGAACGCTAATATTTTGGGATATAGTTGCTTCACTCGCGTCTTGAATAGTAGGTAAGCAAGAAAATAAAAACCAAATTCCCGCTCCAAACACCCCATCTTGAGCCATAAAAAGTTTATACACATTTTAACACGCGCAAGCTTTAAGTGCTAAGGCTAAAGGACAAGGCTCAAAGTAAAGATGTGGAAGTGCTCAGTAAACAACTAAATTTTGTCACGTGTAGACTAAAATCAGAATCAAATTATCACAATCTGATTTTTGAAAGCGTGAAAAAATAGTCTCTCAAGGCAAAAAAACTATTTCATAATTGACCATAGGGGAACAAAAACAAATTAAGAGTCGAATGACAGAAGTAAATGAATTCTTATTGCACTTTGACTGAGGACATTCCAAAACCTAAGACGAACTAGAATTCTTTCAATTGCTTAGGTCGTAAAGGGCTAATTAACATTTCTACTATTTTTCATATTCAGCTGCAAGATGACGAAGATTCGAAAAGCCGCACTACTCCACCGCCGAGGTCAAATGTAACCTACACACTTATTACTAGACTATACTTGTTTGTTCTAAGTGAAAGAAGTTCTTAATAATTCCCACAACCCAAAATAATGTAAATAGAAGGAACTCAGATGATACCTATATTAGAGGCGTACGTTTCCTTAGCATCATTGTAAATGCAAAAAGGTATGTTTTTTTGCGTTTTTTTTCTGAACACAAAGAAGCCTAATTAAAGAACGCAAAGAATCCAGAACTAACTAAAATGGCAATGCACTTCACGTCTGAAATAAACAATTTTCATGCATTAATCCCTGTTTCCCTGAAACAAATGAAGTCATTTTGTCTCACATCTGCCGTTCGCAAAACTTGTGCAGACTCGGCTTTCATTTTTCAAACAGATATTGCAGCTAACTTCGCAAATAAAATTAGACTTTTTCGGATCCCTTTTTCAAATCAGACATGCGTATAAATCTACTAGTTCTTTTATAAAATATGCACGTGAATTTGTAGTGCGCTCGCGCTTAAAGTTGACATGCCAGGCGGCTTGGCCAAGTAAAATTTTTAACATGTTCTCTACCAGAAACTCCAAGACGGAAGTTGACCACCGCTGCCCAGATGTTTTATCGCCCCTAAAATGACATCGCTTGTCATCAATTATTTTGACCTGTAAACCCATAAAACCTCCGCTCAAACACGAAAAAAGTGGGATTAGTTTTTCAATTACGAGGACATGTAATTAAACCACGTAAATGCGCATGTTTCGAGAGGTTATGACGTCCGACTTAGGTAGGGACTTGACACGTAGAGTACGTGTGACGCCTAGCATTAACATTTATTTCTCCTAGCAGTCACTAAAATGTTCAAATTTTTAGGGAAAAAAGAAATACACCAATATATATGGGAATTGCCTAGGTCTATTTTTAAACAAAAAACGCAATGAACTTAAATAAATGGTGGATACATAGCGAGGAGTAGAGGTGAAGAAAAGGAAGAATAGTTCTTTTGAGCTTTTCGAAGGAACTAAAAATTTAGGCGCACTTTTGCACTACTGGACAGATGAGTTTCCGATGCGGACTAGATGTTATCATTTTTAAATCTCTCAGGTGATTCACTAATTTACCTGTGTGGCGGCACTTTAAAACAGTTGAGACTTGAAATCTGGCCATAAAGTAGATTAGCATCACGATCAATGTTGGTAGCTTGCAAAGTGTTGAGATTACGAACGCAAAATTACGCGAATAGAGGCAGAAGATGCGGACAAGAGAAAAGGGAAAACCGAACTACTTCTTTCTTCTGCCAGAGGGAACAAAAGGGATTGGTATACCTATCCCCTTTCAAATCCCGGCATTTAAGGACAGGAAATCCTCTTTCAAATGGCATATCTTTTAATTATAAAAGGGGGACTTTAAGTAATTTTCAACAAACAAAACAACAACATTTAAGGCGGTTTTAATGCATGGAGGGCTTGCGCGTTGGTTGGTGAAAAAAAACGCCACTATAAACAGATCATTGGTGTGAAAAAAGTTTCATTTAATTTCTGTCATGGAGGCGAAACTTGATTAATTTTAAACGGATGCACAAGTAAATAAAGAGTCTGCTCAAGCGCCGGGGTATGCTTTCCGAGGCTATGTTCAGCCTCACTTCTGCGTTGACTAACTCATTAAAAGTCTAGTACAGCGACGCCCACCAGTTTCTCCCTAATAAAGTGGACTGGTTGAATTTTCCGGAGAAGCTGCGGACCAATTACAGCCTCTCCGAGAGGATTTTCGGGGTGGGTAGTGGAGAAGAGCTTCCTCCTCCGAATTGGGTGTGTCATAAATTATGAAGGAGGCGAAAACAGCACAATTCTCAGAAGTTCCGATGAATTTTACCGCTGTCATTTAGTCACCCGTGTCAAAAATAGCCCGCCAAGGTCTTAGAAGACAAAAAGCATGAGGAGAAATGCGTGCTTGTTGGCTCGGTTGCAGTTGCAGCACTTCAATCGGAATGGACATTGGCAGGGAAGCCTGCGACTCTTCTTCCCCAATCAACTAATTGTATCCGCCTTCTTTGGAAAACCGATGACAAAAGAAAGAGGCAAACAATATTTAAAGCTAAGATGAGGTGACAAAGACAAGTGTGGGTCTGTTGTTTAAACCATATTTTAATTCACCTTATTTTGTCGGACTTAGAAAACGGTGGGTGGATCTAAAAAGTGGGGATTCAAAAAGATTTCCTTGTGAAGAAAAAATTTTTGAAATTGCGAGAGTTAGTGGTTGATAAGCGGTACAATCGTCGGCGTAGCTTAAAATGAACCTATGCTTGCATATACTACTGATAAAATTTACAAGGTGGGTAAATTGTCCTGCGATAAAATAGGAAGTTAATTGACTTTTTATTTCATTGATGACAATGTGATTACTTAAGCTAGAAAGGTATTTTAGAATCTTCTGAAGGCCAGAAAAGATTTGTTTGACCATTAAGACGTCTCCCACGCTTCCACCGGGACCCGAGTGGAGGGGGGATTTGGGCATCAGGTGGGGGGGGAGGGTCTCACCTGTTGGTCCGCACCGTGCAGTTTGACGGGATGCAGAGACAGGTCAAAGATGAGGGCATCGGTGACAATGTCAATCGGAGATTGGCGCTTGCCGTGTTTGCAGGTGGTTAAATCCTCGGCTCGCATCAATGGCCTGTCTGTCGCCTCGGTGAATCCTGCGATCACAAGCAGTAGGGTGGCTGGAGGGGGATTTAAAACAGGGTGAAGTGTTGGGAGGACAGTCAAAGTTGTTGGTCCGTCGCTTTTGGATTGTTTTTGGGGTTGAAATGTACTTTACTAGTTAATTTAAATCATGTATGGGGAGGAGTAAACAAGATGTTGCCATAAAAGTTGACAAATCGTTTCAACAACATTACACCAATGAATTAAACAACCGCACTGGTTAGCCTACAAAACATTAAGATTATTAGATGGCTTTCTGTCGAGTAGTAGGGATTCTAGACACATTGATGTGAAGGAGTTAAACACCTCCGAGATTAGACATGGGAATAGGGGACTTATATGCTATAATCTCGGTCGAACTCGCCAGATCCTAAAAATCGCATCCATCTTCCTTTGAGCTAAGATACAACTGC